AGGCTGTGATTTGTTTGAAAACTGAGTTCGTTTTTTGTTTGGTGGTTTGTTTTTTTTTTAAGCAAGAGCCCACTGTTTGCCATCCACAGCGATGAAATGTTTACCTTTTCTGCAGGACCCTCTTGTCTCATGTTAAGTGAGATGTGAGATCGATAGCGGCTCTGCAATTATTTGTCCATTGATAAAGCCTTCATTTCTTAAATGAAGTACATTTAGCTGTGTCCTGACAATGATAAGGGAGAAGTACCAGTCAGCTGCTGCCGAGTCTAGCATTTAGCTCCACAGGGAGACAAGCGCCTGGACGTGGGTCAAATGATGTCTAACTTTCTTCCTATTGGCATTTCACTTTACAAACTGCTCTGATGGGAGGTTTGACAAATCATCCTTGCTGAGTTCAGATAATAAAAACTAGCAGGACAAATGGGAAGTTTTGGTAAAGAGAAAACAATGGCTGATTTCAGGTTAAGTGAACGGTCTGTAAATCTACTGGATGGTAAAATGAAGAGATCTCTTGTGTCACAAGATGATAGAAAGTATCCCATGTAAGGCTCTTATTTGGTTCTTCAAACGTCATTTAAATGTAGTCATTTAGCAAATTTTATTGATGAAAAATTGATCTGAACTTTATTCTGTGATAGGAAGCCAATCAAAGAAGCAATGAGACAAATTTCGTCTCCAGTAAAAACAGTGCGAAATTCTCTTTGGCTTTAAGTGAGGCCAAAATTTCACCCCAGTGGAGCACGCCAATCTATTTCACTCCAGAATCAGAGACTTCAACAGCACATGTAGGGTGGTTTTTGTTTGGTTTCTTTTTTTTTTTTTTTAATTTCTAATTCTGATTTATGACAAAGAAAGAAGGGAGTTTCCAAACTAATGTCAAATTTGGTAATGAAAATCCAAAGAGGCTGATAAACTGACACATTTGTGTGTGTGATAGCGATGATTATGCTGGTTTTAAGGACTGATTTGTTCTCTGACTTTTTAACCTGTGGGAGCACAAGAGCTGAAGGACTGATTCATCTGAACTCGTCATCTGCTGAGAACAATAGTCCAGGTGTGATGGACTTGCTCCTCGCCAGAGATGGGCAGTGATCAGACTGAAGGGTGGCATGAGGAACCACTGAGGGTAGACAGACAATTGCTGAAGTATGAAGATCCGTGGACTTTTATGTACAAAGAGGTAAGAGCTGGTAAGACACTTGGTTTTCATAACTGATGGTTACCTAAGTAACCTGAAGTTACCTTACTCTACATATATTAATACTACATAGAAGTAAACTAGAGAGATGTCACACTTAAGAAACTAATTACCAAACTATTCAGGCTTATTGAATAATCATGGAGTCACTGTATCATTATCTACTTGGCAGCGTTGGTCAGATGGGCACAGACAGCCTAGATGGCCCACTGGGGAAAGGAACAGAGCTCCTGTGCCGGGGTGTACGGCTCGCTGGGGTGGGTATGTGCAGCCTGACTGCAGGAAGAGTTATGCACTGCTAGCCGCAAAGGCTATAATAAATATGTATCTGTCTAAGCTTCAACAGCATATTCTTTAATGCTACCATCAATCAAAAGCATTCTCCTGTATAAACACTTTGGAACCTTTGACGAGTAGATAATAAACGCTTACCTCTCATTTAAAATCTAGCAAGCAAAACTGGTATGATTTAACTGTGTTTTGAAAAATTATTGTAAGTGTTTTGGGTTTTGAACATTATTTTACTGTTAGTTTACTAAGATAATCACTTCTGAAATGTTAGGAAGAAAGGCAGCGACAAAGTTCTTTGCCCTGAAGGAAATTGCCATCTTGTGAAGAGATAAACAATATGGTACAGCCATGAATAACAAACAGCTTTACAAGGCAGCCTCCTATCTGTATAGTTATAAGAAACAAGCAGGTTCCTCTCAATAATTTAATTCTGTGGATTATTGACTTTGTGTTGCCTTTGAGAGGCTTTATATTAGACATCTATTTTTCAACCAAGCACTATACTAAAGAATAATAGCATAAGGTTTTATTGGTTTGGTTAACACTGTGGCGTGAACATCCTTAGAAGTGTAAAAAGGCTGGTATGTCTTGAAGCGCTTTGTATTGCATTAAACATTACAGGACCAGATTTTCAACAGGAGCCAGCTGAGGTTTTTGAAATTTTTTTTTTTGATTAAGTGATGTATTTTTCCATTAAGACCAGTGTTCTGTTGAGATGCCTAAGAGATGTCAATATGTGTCAAATGCACCAAGATGCTTAGGTACAATAATTGCTCCCAGTTATTTATATCGAATTTGATGCTTAGATGGTTTTGACAGCCCTGCTGAATGCCTACCAGCATTGTTAGGCACTTCAAGATCTTCAAAAACCTGACTCACTCTTAGGATGTGAGGTGTCTTATTAACTTCAGCCAGACAGTTCATTCATACTTTTGGGCACAAACTGAAGTACTTTGCTGGAAAGCGTATTTATGTTTTTCATTTCAGTTTCGTCATTGTTCCCATTAAGTATTTGCCTCAGTCCTGTGGGTCAAGTGGTACCATCTTTACATTTTACTTTTTGCGGAATAACACCTAGCTTTGACAATTAGCAAATTGAATTATGTGGTATACTAAATCACGAACTAATCGGTTTCAAAGGTATTGCACCTTCTTTAGCTACGTGACTTTTATATGCAAGTGATGTGACTACAAGGCTCCTATTAGCAGCAGAATTAGCTCTTTTTATAGTACCATAAATGAGATAAAAACTGGGTAACCTGGCTCAGTACAAGCTTGCAAGGTACTCCTGCCCAACTGCGTCAGAAGTTGAGCACACTACCTGGCAGAATTAGAAGATCTAAAGGTGTAAGAAAGTTTCCTAACTCACTGCAAAGTACTTGAAGAGGTGATGAAAGTGATCAGACAAAAAGGCCACCTAAATGTGAGAATTTTCCAAATGCACTTTGCTTATTCAGCTAATTTAAAATATCACTGAATTCTCTAAATATTTAATCAGAGGAAAGATACAGGCCCTTTAGGTGTTTTGATGCCACTGTCTGACGACTGAAAAACCTACTTATTAGGAATTAGAAAATCTGAATTCTTGTTATTCATTAGGTTAATTCATAAAACATAATTTCTGCAACACATGGCTTGCTTTTCCTTCTCTGAATCTAAGATATGGGAAGTGATGAAGCCCTGAATACAAAATGTTAATCCATCATGTCTTTCTAGGATTCAGAACATACAAACTTCCTAACAGTCGGTTCTGTTAGCGTCGTTCTAATTCTTAAAATAATTATTTATTCCCCACCCCCCCCTTCTGTCTCCTATACTTCTGAAGTATTGCTCTTTTAGGCTCCCTGCGTTTGGAGAGCTTAATCTAAAATTTTCCACAGCAGTTTCAAATTCTCTAAACACCACATGGAGGGACATATTTAAGACAATAATTGATGTTTTACAGTGTAATCAACACTGTTCCTTTCAGTCTAATTGCAACTGTATTATAATAATTTATTTGTAGAATTTTATTCCTTTACAGAAGTTTTTTTTTTTTTTTAACTGAAAACTAAAGAAAAACATTACTAAATGTCACCACTGATGATATTTCTTTCATTGTTGTGCTTGGCTCAACTCTTCACCCTCTTTGTAGACAAAATACCTTTTGACTAAACCAGGAGTTTGTCTATGGAGGTACGGCTGGATCTGACCTTATTTATGTTTTTACGTCTCTCCTTTCAACTGTCCGCCAGTAAATAAAAATTCATTTGACCAAAGTTTATTTAGACCAGCTTCTTTAAGTCAACAAAGTGCAAACCTGAAAAATCTGTTCCTATGAAGTCAATAGGAATCCATCTCCCTAAGCCTTTTTTTTTATTCCTGGCACCAGTGATTTTTCTTGATGGATTCATTGGAGGGCACTGGTTTAACTAATTTGTCTTGCATAGGTATCTTTCCCATTTTATGTCCTCTCCACTGATACAAAACAATCTTCCCTTTAAAGATTATTTCCTAGCCAGATCTGTCATAAATCTATTATTGTTAATTTGCACGTTAAGAGTTCCTTTCCCTTTTTAAAAACTATGAGATACATTCCTGATTTATGGGTTATGATGTGACAGCCATCATATGCAAAGAAGATTGTACTTACCACAGATGCCTTTGAAAAAGAGGGATATTTCAACCATATCCCCACTCCACCCGCTTCACATAACTATATTCAAGATCACAGAAAAACATGGCAATCTGTATTTTCCACTGTTCTCTAGAATTTCTAATAAACTTTTAACCATGTTCTGGAATATTCAGAAATCACATACAGAAATACAGAAAGCTTGTAATACTCTATTAAATTCCATAGGTTTTAGGAGTAATTTCCATAGAAATCCACTTTTAATCCTTATATGGATTAATCCTACTGAAAAATAGTCCTCAGATTCCTGTGAACCTCATTAAATATGTTTCAAAATAATTCAAATGTTTTCAGGAAAACATTAAGAAAAGTAAAATAGTTTCAATGTTTTTAGAAAAAACTAACAACACTATTAAGTAAGATATGAAGAGTAGAGTGCACCTACCTAAACTAAACAGCACCAGGAATTTGAGACATACAAATTCTCGTAGATCAAACTGCAGGGAACGAAGCTTTGCTACTAGTTCTTGTGCGTGGCTCATAAGATTGTTGAGGGTGGCTCCAGCTTGGGATACTATTACGGAATAATCCACCTGTAAAAAAGAATTGTATTTCTGTCTGGTTGTCAGGCCTGCAGAACCACTTTAGGACGTTTCAAGCAATCGCATACAAACTGGGATACTCCCGAATAAAAGAATCACTCGCAATTTAATCATGTTATCAAGTCAAGACAATGTTATATATAACCCTATTTTAGGACAACAGTATATATTGAAAATAGTATTAAACTATGTATCTTAATGGTATGTCACATCAGTGTGAATGCTGGTTTGTCTGTATTAGCTTTTTTTAGAAGCTTTATATATGACAACTGCACATGATGCTGGTAGCTGTCCCCATATCGGTTTGTTTTATTCATTTGGTGTCTCTTGTTCTCACTGTAATTGTGTGATCCTGCGAAGGAGGACTGATGAAGTGAGCTTTGCGCTTACGCTGGGCGTATTAGTCCAGAGGGACATAACGGTATTCATGGGAAATGGTCCGGTGTCCGTAACTTGGCCAGAAACATCTATTCAAGCCCAGAAACGTCGGTGTATTCCCACAGGAAACAGAGGTATTGTGTGGGTGGTTTCTGTTCTCCTTGGCTACACAAAATCCTGGTATGTGTTGGAGTTGGTTCCAAGGCACCTGTCCTGGCGAGTCCTCCCCTGCCCGCGCAGGAGAGCCGGCAGGTGCGTGGCGCAGGCCAGCTGCGCTTGCCTTGTCCTGAGCAGCCACCGCAGGGCACGAAACTGCTTAAAAGGTCCCTTCCAACCCGAAGCTTCTACGATTCTCTGGGGCGTAGGAAAACACGGGACTGCTCCGGGGGCCTGCTGCCCTTGTCATGCCCGTTTGTTCTCGGCAGAGGCTGGCCTGTCTGTGAGCTTTCCAAAGTGACACTGGTATATAGAGATCCAACAGAAAGCCGGAACTAATACACTATATTGAAAAAGGTAATATTCGAAAGCAAATTATGCTTAAAGCCTTTCATAGCTGACGTACCCCATGGCGATCCTTCAATCTCGGGCAACCTCCCCACTGCTTGCACACTGAAAACTTTTTTTGGCTAATGCCAGTCCCATTAAGGGGACGTTTCCGTGCAGATGGTCGTACCAGCCTCTGCCGCTCTGAGGACGTGCACCGTTAGCCTTTGCATGCTTTGTCACGGGATGGTGAGCAGCGGAAAAGCGCTCAGGCACCGCAGCCCGCGGGAGCCGTGATGCCAAGGTGAAGCGCGGGGGCTGGGGCCGGGGTGAGCTGGCTCCCAGGCCGGGTTGGAGGCTGTGAGACGGGGCAGCTCCAGCGCCGCGACAGCAGCGTGGAGCAGGGTGCAACTGCTGCAGCTGAAACGCCTTCAGCTCAGCGCTGTGCTCATCGGAGAGCATTACGTCCCCCCTGCAAGTGCCACCGTCCCGGGAAGATGGCTGGGGTGTTGCTTGCTCCTGTGTTGAACTGCTCCTGGCCAACTGGCCGAGACCTAAACAGGCTATTTACACATTTAAAAAAAATTCTTTTCTTGCCTGGCTGCTTTAATATTACCAACCCCTTTCTCTTTCAGGAGCCTCCATAACAACAGGGAAATTGCTAACCATACTTCATGTAAGCATATGTAATTGAAGTCTGGCTCTAAACTAAGACTAAGCACGGTGGTAAGTGCACGCTTTGGGTTAATGATTTGTTTAAAGGTATCGGTGCTCTAGTCCCATCTTTAAGGTCTCCCATAATAAAGTCGTTAATAAAGAGCAGCCAGGTATCACCAGCAGAAACAGACCAATACTGCAAAATTCTGTTTGTCCAGGCACTGATTCCTTAAAAACTATTAAAAAAAAAAAAGCTGTTAAGAAACATGTATTTTGGAATATGTTTTTGATTTTGAAACTATTGAATTGATTTTGTTCAAGTATAAACAGCAGTAAAACAAGAAAAAAGGAAAGACTTTAAACCTGACAAAATTTCAGCCAGGAAAGATAGAAAGATGACTGAAAGGAACTAAAAATAATTTCTCCTAGTGATGACCTTAATATAATCAATAGGTTACTGACTTTTAATAAGACATTTTATTTATATGTACTCTTAGTGCTCTCAAGACATTGACCGCAGGGAACTGTACAAGAAAAATGAAGTTACGTTTTTTGGATGGATGTTAAGAGTAACACTGCTCCAACTCTGCAAAGCATTTAAAGTTGTGCTTATGTTTCAATTAAGTCAACGGATTATGCTTAAGTACCTTGTGAGGTAGGTTTTATTGCTTTCTTACACCTGGGAAAACTGAAGTAGTGATATTAAATTGCTTAGTTAGGGACAAAGAAATCTGTGACAAAACTAGGATCTGGTCTTTGGAAATCCCAGCCAAACCATCTTTCATAAACTACTTTCTAGTTCCTCTGTTATTTCTCTCTCTTTCTGTATATGCACTTACACATATTTATATATCATTAAATGTACTTATATAAATAGTAAGAAAAAATCAAGTAACATACCTCAAATACTTTTTACTCGAGCAGTTTAATATAGTGACATGATTCAACTACTTCATATTGAGAAACTAGTCACATATAAATATCAACTTTCACAACTTAATTTCCCTTTTGTAATTGTTAAGGGGGGGGAAAGCTCAAAGTCCCTCACTGAGGTTCCAGTTTGGAGGGAAATATGCTATTCACTTCACAATAAGAAGTTAAGATGTCTGGATGTCAAGAATATCAGCGGCCTTAGTGCAGCGATTATGCTATAATGGAAAAACCCAGTAGATGCCTGGATCTCCCACCTTCCCTCTACTGGAGAGCTCTCAGGCAACCTGCTACTCTTTCAGGTGCATTTAATATTTGCAGCACCAGCAAATTTGTCTGGGAGGCAAGTCCTCATCTGCCACTCACCAAGAGCAGGCTGTATTAAATTTTTATATTTATTGACATTTCATTACCATAATTGACTTCAGTTGGTTCTCTAGTAGAAGGCACAGGGCTGCCTCCTAAGCAGGAGAATTGGTCCCTTGAGTAGGATTTGCAATTAAAAACAACGCAGAATGGATTTTTTTTTTTATTGTGTAAATATGATGAGTTGAATTTTCAGCTTTAACTAGAGAATACTGGGTGTGCAGAAGGGTTTTTTCAAGAGTGAGCAAAATTATGAGTCAGTGGAAAGATGACCCCCAAAGGTGTCAATCAGTTTATACAAAATCAACTGTGCATGAAAAAGCCTCGGTTAATGTCTATTCTGAAAAAGTGGTCACATTAAAGAGTATGCTGTCCTACTTGCTTGGTCCTGTATGCAATAATTGATACTAAAAGGTGTATTAATTCTTTTACTTTCCAATTCATGATTAAAAATGCTTTTAAAGACAAAGATTAAAACAGCCTGGATCTTGAGCAAAATGTTTAATTGCTTATTGAAGTCTTAGCATTTACTTTATATTGTACCATTAATTTCATTTGGTAAAATCAAATCCACAATTGAAATAAATTATTCTTGCTTCCCAGTTAACAGTATTACATTTCACAGTTGATTTTGATGTTGAAGATGGTATGTTGACTGGCATTTTTGAAAACAGAAGCTTTGGTGAAGCTTCCACATAACCTAATTTGGAAGTAGAATGACGGGCGTAAAGTTACGTCTGCACAGACAAATGGAAGTGTGAATTCCTCATGTACCAGTACACAGTGCTATCTTGCATGATGACTATAGTAATGATGAAGAAGTAATGTTAGAGGCTGAATTGGATTAGCTTGGTACCAAAGCAATGCAGACAGAACAGCACGGAATAATTTACACTGCTGCCTGTTCTCACCATTCTGGTGCTTAAATTGGCATGTGTAAGGTTAGTATGGCCATTGCTATATATGTTATACTGCAGGCTGTTCTTTAGTATACCATTTGCTAACTGAAGTGCGTAAATCTAAAATCAGATACTCAAAACCTCTGCTCTGCTGCCATCTAACTTTGTGCTTAAAGTCCTCACAGCTCCACCTTCCACCAGCCCTTTGGATGCCAAACTGCATCTAGGCATGGCCAGGACTACCCAAGTCATGACAGCGGTAAGTAACTGTGTGTCCGGCTCTTAGATTTATGGACTATGTAGCTTTCATCTATCTAAGGCAGCAAAAATGCCAAAGGATTTCTTCAGCAGGCCAGTGGAGTGGAGCCACTGAGGTATGGGAAACCCAGGGTCACATCTCCGGTCTAAAGAGGGCATGAAATAAAAAAGGCTATAGCCTGGCAATTGGGGTATCTTTCTGAAAGTGAGAAATAACAAGTTTCTTCAGGTAAATCTGGGACATCTTGCGGATATCTGCTGCTCATGCGTATTGGGTAGAAAGAGAGGGATGTTTGGCTTGGTTTGGAGAGAAAGGATTTGCTAGGTGCTGAACTCTAGGAGGGAACTACTATCCCAAGCAGAAAAGTGCACGTAAGTCCCTTGGACAGGCAGCATTCATGTCGTACCTCTCTCCTTAGCATTTCTCAAAGCTACCTCTTACAGTTACCACCCAGTTTGCTGCTGGCCTTCCCTGCTCCCTGCACTGCAGAGGTGAGGGCTGTGCGGAGGAGGCTGCAGGCTCTGCGAGAGGACAGGGCAGTACGGAGCACTAGCAGCAAAGGGAAAGAAGTAAAAAAGACGATAGTATTAGTAAGATGGTCATGACTTAAATGGGACTGCAGAAAGATGCAGCAATACTGTGTATTTTTTCTAAATCCTTTTCTTTATACAGTTGAGAGTGACTTAAAAGTCCAAATCCCTTTGATGCCAGTGAGAACAAGTTAGGCCAGTGCTGAATGTTTATGAAAATTCCACTTTTAAACAATATATCCTAGTAAAGTACTTGGAGTTCAGCAGTATTTAGATACTCAGCTATCAAATATTTTTCTCAATTGATAAACTGAGAGGTAAGAGAGATGGAAGTGACTAATTCTGCAGGTTTTTTTCTCACATGAAGGTCTCATTTAACACAGTGAGATATTGTTCAAGGCAGAACGAAAGACAAACCTTTTTTACGACGTGAAACTATACTCTGGGCTAAATAAATGCTGAGGCTGAAGGCCAGAAATGCAGGGAGCA